ATTCCATCTGTTAAAAATCAAGAAAAAGTGAATTTTCTGTTTTCCAAAGTTGACAAGTGTTTACAACGATTTCTTGGACCTACGATATTAAAAATGCATCGGGACAAAATTAATCAATCATTATACTATACGGCAACTTATGTTAATCAGGATGAAGTTGATAACTTAATCGAAGTAAGTGAATAATGAATTCTATATTTCAAGTTGTATTTTGTTATGTATTTCGAAATGTGTATTTCATGTTGTATATTTCAGGTTGTATATAACTTAATAGTTAAGCTTACAATAATAGGGATATGAGAATGTACTGTTTAATGAATCGTCAACCGTTGATCTTTCACAAACAACTTTAAACCAGATGATTAAATTTGTTAGATACTATAATTTTATGGATGTATGGGCAGTTAATGTTGGGAATTCATTACAAGCTAAGCACTATGTTCTTTTGCTGCAAAACAATAGATATATATGTTCATGTCTTTCTATTATACGCTCTGAAATCATATGTCAGCACTATTTTCAAACAATGTTGACCACAAAAACAGCAAAGTTTCACATTCGACTTATACCATCACGATAGTATTGTAATGAACAAAATGGGTCATCAGAGCCTTTTTTAGTTGCTGATAAGTTTATGCAGGAGATTGAAACGATAACAACTAATTATAGTGAACCGGTACCATATTTAAGTAGCTTTGATTAGTCTAAACCAGATTTTCATAAGAAAAATTTGACAATTCTTGAACAAAAAATTGCATATGGAAAATTACACAGAATGTATAAAAAGGTACTTAATAAAGCATTAGATAATCATTCTAAATCGCAACAGCTCATTAAATTATTGGAAGAATTCATTGAAGAAGCGGATAATAATAATCTATCTGATTCTAAAGAAAGCTCGCAAGGTGACAGTATTAGTGATAAAGAAAACTATGACCCCGCAACAGAAATTCAAGTACGAAACCCAAAGAAATGTAAAGGTAAAGGTCGGCCACCAGGAACTAAAAGATTTAAGTCTTCTCATAAAAGCTCTAAATCTGTAATGAAAAATCAACGTCGATGCAAGAAGTGCGGAAATGCTGGACATTATCAGAAAAATTGTAAAGCAGAAAAATAGCATAAGTGATATATGTATAATTATAATTAGAGTTGCTATCATTTATAGAAAAAGATAAAGCATAACACATAGCATATTGAAATTGCAAAGTATATACTATGTATTTAGAAAGTCTAAAAACTTCAATTAACTCATATGTATAAATAAGAAATAACGCATTGGCTTATTAAGTTTCAGTAGCATACAGTAGTAAGTTCGATATTAATTTTGTTCTTGGCACACTATCTATATGTAAATTGGAGATTCTAGATTTTTTTTTTGCGTTCCTAAATGTGTTATTACAGTATTTCTACGTACATATTGTAGAGATTGATGTTCTTAGATTTTCTGTATAATATGTACTACAGTATGTCAGTGGTAATCTTTAATATGTAAGTAAATATATGAGTGCCAATATAGAATATACAGACTACGTCTAATATAGTTAATACATGGCAGCTTGTACGTGCGTAGAAGTTTTTTGTGGTTACGTGTGTTACTATGTATAGTTTTCTTTGTATTACGTAGAGTAAGCTTTGTAAAGATTATACTTATCGTAAAACTTATCGTATATATACACGATATACATATTATATGCATGTCAGATATATAGATGTACGTACGTACCTAAATACGTATATACCTAAGTACGTACATATGTACGTACGTACATATCAGGTATGTATATGCATACGTATATGTTGTATATATGTATATATCAGATATATACTTGGTATTATATAGTATATATATATTTTTAATATATGAAATTACGATAGCTGATATATATACTATCACGTGGTTTTAGGTAGTACAAAGAACTAGCGGTATTCTGCCACTGCGGTAAATAACAAAATCCTTAATTAAAATATAGTGATATAAAAAATATACAATATATATTATTTAATTAATATATTGTTAAAAAGATCTAAAGCAATATCTAACCCAAATTGTAATAAATATATTTCTTAAAGTAGTGTTTTTTTCAATTTATCTGTGTTTCTTTTAATTTTTCTAATAAATTTCTTTATCAATATTGCTTAAAAACAAATGAAGCTTGGATTGTTTTACTAATAATGACATATTAAGTATATTTTTAGATCTAATTTGTTGAAGAAGTCTTTTATCTGTTGTTAGTAGATAATAATGAAATAGATTCGAGTTTTTATAAAATGATATAGTCTAAGAAAATTATAGATAGATAATTCTTCTTTTGCACAGAATTCTTCAAATTTATAAAAAATTATTGTTTTACAATAGCAATTCATACAAACCCAAGCTGTTAGTTTTTATATTTCTTAAATTATTTTCAAGTTTCTCTGCAAACTGTAATTCTAAATCATATAATAATTTAGTTCAAGGCTTTTTGAAAACAATATGATAAAAACTAAATGCAAAAGATCTAGCATTATTGTTGCTGAAATAACAAACAACCAATGATAAATAGAGCTAAGATGCAAACTATTATTTAAAATGATTAGATGTTTTATAGAATAGAAAATGATTAGATGTTTTATAGAATAGAAAATGATTAGATGTTTTATAGAATAGGTGAGCAATATAAGAAATAAGCTTTGTTAATAATTAGTAATTATTAATTTTTTAATATCGGAGTTGTAAAGTTGGCAGAGTTTGCCCACCTATTCTATAGAATATCCAAATAATCTAAGGCTTTATTAACCCTTTTTCCAAATTCTCAAAGAATATTCCAAACTTTTTACTAGGCAAAGTCTTCAATGCTTCTAATAATATGTTAGCAAAAAATATTTTAAAATTTTTAACTATATTCTAGAGAAATCTATATTATTCATAGACTTTGTCAGACATTTTATGAGCTCACTGACCTGAAAGTAAATTAGTAAATTGATTATTTGCTAAATATATTTCAATCATAAATTATATCATTAGTTTATAGAAATATTTGACAAAGTTGATTAAACATTTTATTTAAATGTTTAATTTAAAATTAAGAAGCTAGGATTAAAACAAATACCAATCATTAAAATATTGTTTTAAGGTATTAAGATTCTTTAGTTTACTAACAAATCAGTTAACAAACTTAATATATACTGTATATCTCTTATATAATTTGCTACAAATAGATAAACAACTAAGAGACAAACACTATGAGATAAACAATAGGAGACAAAAATAACATTTGATTGGCTGATATGTATAAATAAAATCACATGTTGATTATCACATTACACATACATTGAACTGCATTACGGCACGTACTGCAATAAAAAATTAATTCATTAGCACTATATAGAGAAACTAAAACGTTTTACTATACAGTGCACACTTACTAGCAATACTATTTTTTGTCAACCTTTACATTATCATATTAAACAATATGAAAAATAACTAAGGATTATTGAAACTTATATAGAGTATATACATTAATTTAGCTAATAACAACATATATGGATAGTTTAGTTTAGTAATGTGATTAGTTATTTATTAAATTTTATTAAAATAATATTTTTAAAAATTAAACATTCAAATAAATTTTCCTATATAGTGTAAGCTATAATATATAAAGGTATTGCTCTTAGATAATGTGTACCAGGTTGCTAGCGCAGACAAAATTCTTAAACTCATTAAGGTTAGAGTTAGGGTACGAGTTAGGAATTAGAAAGGAGTAGTTTATATAGTAAAGTTGCCTAACAAAATCTTTTTACTAGAACGCTAAAGGTGATTTCTTATACTGATTTTTGAGTTATAGGCGATTTTTGGCAGAATAAACGTTTATTTTGAATCTTCCTGATCGTGTTATATTACACTAAATCTTTAAATCTGATTTGTAGTTCTGAAGATTTATGTCACCAACCTGGTACACATTATCTAAGTGCAAAGGTATTTAGATTCGGAGCAACGCGACAGGTCTTACACTAGTAATAATATAATAAGTATATTCAATATTTTAACTATATAAAAATACAAATATTTTGAATAATAATAACTAAAAATAACTAAAATGTTTAATAAAATCTATACTAAAAATCTACTTTGTAATATTTTCTTTGCCTTAAAATTTTTACTTTGTAAAAATGCTACATATAATTAATCTAAATAAAGTTTGTACTCAAGGAGTTATACAGAATTGTTCTGATATGTTGCATAACTTCTGCAGTTCACAAGTGTTTTTGTACTCATATATTTTTAATATAATGAGTCTTTGTCTTCTAAAAATAGCAAACAGATTTTTGTTTACTAAATTATACTATAATTATATAGCTTTATCTATTTCCTCTTTTGGCTATTAAAGCACTGTTTTCTCAAAATTCAGGAGTTTCTAAAAATAAAAAAAAAATTCTACAATGTTCTTTTGATAACAAATTCTTTGTCTATTTTCACCTCTTAAAAAGTGAGGTCTCCAAACTTCATGTACTAATTTGTTTAAAATTAGCTTCTATTTGTTTTTAATTGTTTATAGATTTCTTATTCTAGCAATTACATTGTCAGTTGTGATTGTTTTCTGCATGTATTGTCTGATTTTTTTATTACAGCTAATTGTGTTATTCTTTCTCTAAAAATAGCAACATCACATTGCTTGTCTATTTTGGCAATGGTTTGTGTCTAATTTCTATATCGGTCGATCAAATTTTCTTTCTTATTCCAAATGCTTCTATTTTCTTCTATTTCTTTCTATTTCTTTGTTAAAATTTCTTTGTTTCTATTTTTATATCTGCTAATCAATAGTTATCTTGTGTCTATTATTTGTTACAGCTGGTTGTTTATTGATTTCTATCTTGGGAATAATAACAATTTTCATTATTTATTTCCTTGGTTTTTAGCATTATCAGATCTTAAAAATCTTTTATCACAGCTTTTTGGTCTTTATCTTTCTTTTGTTTTTTCTTTTTCTTGTTTCTAAAGTTTTCTAATATCTTGTCTCTTTTGCTTCTTGTAGTTTATCAAAAACTTTTTATTTTCTTGCTGTTTCTTGTTGTCGCTTTATCTTGCTGTTGTTCCAAAGGTATATATACTTTTCTGGCTATGCGCTAAGTCTCGTCTAATTTAGGCATATGGGGCTTGGCCAGTCATCTATCTTGGTGCACTATGTAGTTGGCCCAAGTAGATATTTTCTCTTTATATTTTTCTCTTTTTACTTTTGATACTCATGATCTTTTGTATGAGTAGGTTAGAGACTTATTTCTATTGGTATAGCAAATAATGGACCTTGCTTGTTGTATTCTTGGGATAAGTGACTTACCAATATATTTTTTTTATTTTCGTTTTTAGTATATATATTTAGAAATAATAGTTCTAATTAAGTTTTTATTTCAGATACCACGTCGAGGAAAAGGAAGTTCAGTTTACGATCATTTGGTTGTTCTACACAACCAAGTTCAAAATTTAGAAGCACAAGCAGCAGTCAGAAATTTTCAGTCCTTCAAAGCAATCTGGGAAGAATATATATGAGAATCCAGGTATCGGCAACTATTTGTTGAACAGAATAGTTTGCGAGTTTGGGTTGCAAATTTAGAGAATAAGCTCCAGAAGTTGCAGCAAAATACAGCTGAATAAAATGAAACTTCTTTCTGTAATATCTTGTAAATAAAATTAAAATAAAATTTTTAAATTTAATTCTAATAGCAATAAATATAATAAAATTTAAAAATTAATAAATTTGTAATAATCGATAATTATATAAATAAAGTTAATAAAAAAATATAAATTCTAATAAATAAATAATAAAAGTTATAATGAATAAAGTTTAACAAATAATAAAATTGTACCAAAAAATAAAGTTATAATAAAAGAATTATAAGAATAGAGTTATAACAAATAACTATAACAAATAAGTGTATAATGAATAAATTATAACAATGAAGTTATAATAATAAAATTTTTGTAACAAAATATTGTAATAAATAAAATTGTGTCGAAAAGTTGTAATAAATAATAAAATTGTAACAAAAAATAAAATTATAACGAATAGGTTTAGGTCGCAGATAACTCCAATATAAGCTCTGTCTGAGTCTCTAGTCTTAGTATCCTTTGGATATAGAGTT